TTTCTTGAAGCTTTTTATGTTTTACCCTTTCATTCGCTTGTTTGTTTATTTACCTGGCAATGACAAAAAAATTTGAACAACTCATTAGCGTCTGCTTCGAAGATGAAAGTGAAGATGGGCCCAGAGCCAGACAATTGAGAAGATTCCACTTGAACCTCTCACTGTGCCCCACCATATCTCCAAGTGACGCGCTGTCAGTATTTATTGATATGGCCTGCACATATAAATACGATTTTATGTGATGACCAAAAACTGAAAGAAGAAACATGACCATTTTCACTATCATTTCGCTTCATTGTTATTGTTTTCAGCGTTGCACAGTCTGTGGAATTTCTGTGTTTTGCTCATCCGACAAAAACCAGTAAGCTGCAGGTGCTGCCTGCTGCCTGCCGCCTGGTGACCAGTAAAAGTAACGCTCCTTCGGCCTGTCTGGTGGTCTGAAACTGGCCACAGTTGACAGACTTTCTTCTACAGTCTGTCCAGTTTTTCTGCATATTGTTTACTGCTGGCCAGCGGCTGCTTCTTCAGCTTCGGGCCAAGACGAGACCAGCCAGATCTGGCCAAGACCAGACCGAGACCAGGCCATTAAGTAGTCGCATCGCATCCGCCTGCAACTTTCATAACGGCAGCATCCTGCTCCCTTTTTGTTTTCTGCGGTAACTCCGCAAAAAAGAGGTCAAAGTGGTTGACCCACAGATGCACAGATGGCGCAACCGCCTCAAAGGCAAACATAAACATTCTAATTAGCACTGAAAAGAGACCTCGAGAGGCATCAGAAGCAAGTTATCTAGATACACAAAGGTGGGATGTTGTTGCAACAAGTCATCAAGTGGGTATTGCAGCTGGCAAATCCGTCTTCTTTATAATTACTGTCATCGCACCGCCAAGAGGTGGTGCTTAAAAGCCAGAAACTCGTCTTGGTCTTCGGATTCGTTCTACAAAAAACGAGCTGCAAGTGCAAGTCTCTAGATATTTTCTCTGGAGAAACGTCTGCTTATCGATTGATTTCTAATTAACAGGAAATGATAGAGGCAGATCTAGGTAGTTTAAATTAAGTCGACTGGGTTTTCAGATGGTACAGGGAGCTTAGGCAGGAGGGTCAGATTAATGATAATATTTAATAGAACCTATACTGAAGTTTAAAGCGATTTCTTCATAAAACGTATCATAAACTTGATTTCCGTTCTCAGCACTTTTATATTCAGATAATTAAACTGTAAGCCGTAAACCAGTGGAGTTTATTAAAATGCTAATATTATTTTCTACAAATATTAACAAATATACCTTACGCTTTTATTAAATCCAATTCAATAAATCTTTTACTTATCAATTTTGTTTTCCCTACAGTAATTTTATTTACCTTTTTATCAAATTGTAAACCAATCGGTTTAATTGATTATCTCCACAAATATTAAAAAAAAAATTAACTATTTGTAACCACATAACTCCGCTTCATGTGATTTAGACACCTGTTCCGCTCTTAGCCGTTAATGACAATTTTTTACAAATTTACTTTAAAATGTCTGAGGCGCGTGATACATAAATAAAATTTGTTTGCAATCCAAAAAGAAACATTCAGGGAAAAACCAGTTACTTAGAGCCGCGCAGAGACCGCTGTAAAATGTAATATATAAGCCGGAGATTAATTGCCATGTTTGGGGGGTGTTGAGTACAGCAGGTGGGATGGGTAAAAAAATAAAGAAAAAATGTTTGGCAGATGCAGCCACGAAGTCAGCACAAGTGGCTTGGAATTAATTATCTAACAATTCGGATTCGGAATGTTGCACAGATGTGCGCACGATAGTGTGCTTAGAAAAACATCTTTCAAAGATTTCGACTGCTTTTTGCTGCGGTTATTTTGTAATATTTATTTGGCTATTGAGCACGTTTTGAAGGTTGCTTTTTGCACGCCGAACAGGTGAATTATATAAATAAATAACCATTTGAAGAGCCTAAAAATCATCGTTAGTCATTTAGCCGCCAAAAGAAACACAAAATAAATGCCTTTCTCCCACAATTTATATCTGCAAGTGCCCCCATTGAAATGTTCAATAAAGCAGGTATTGCGTAAGAAAAGAAAACAAGCCACAAAATACAAAAGGCAGGTCGAAAAAAAATCAAAATGAGAGCTACTTGGGAGCAAGTGCCCGAAAAAAAAGAAGGTGAAGACAATTGGTTCGGAAATATTTCACCAGCTGCCAATGCCCTTACCCACGGCAATTAGCTTGGAAGAAGAAACGTACAGGTAGTGCTTCAAATAGGAAGAGCAAATGAGGCAACGGAAATTCAAATTACAAAATTTACAAGCCGTTAAATAGGGAAAAAAACATGCAATTGCGCGTGGCCAAAACAAAGGCCCAAGCCAAAAGCTTTATCAGGCGGAAGAGTTTCGAATATTGACCAGAGACCGAGAGACCCACCAATATCCATATGGGTAATGCATGACCATGGACGGGCCTCAAAGCCTCGAACTCGGGCAACTTTCTCCATTAACTGCGAGTATTTATTAGTTTGGTATGCACAAGACAAACTCTGGGCTTCAGTTGAGCTAGAAACGCTGGAGTACTGGAATGCCTCTGACTAATGGCCATATATGTGTGTTCCAGACTGTTGCCGAGTGGTTTCTTGGATAGGTCAGGTTTCTGGGCTAGGTCAGTTACGGTTTGGTAACTTTTTTTGAGGTCACTGTAGCTCCTATCAATTGATGGTTAAGGAAAATTATATACCGACTTAAATTCTTATTAAAAATATATTGCATTGACTTACAGATTAAAAAAATAATGCCAGATTAAAAAAAATTAATCCAAATTTAGAATTATAATGATAAGGTATAAATAAAAATAGAAGATCATTAAAACTCTTTTGGTTTTTAATTTTCCGTAAACTTTTATTGCAATTACCCACATTTCTTACAGGCAATTTTCCCATCAACTGCGCTCTTTCAATCAACAACAACTAATTTTAACTAATTTGCAATTTGTTTTGGTCAGTTAAAAATAATTAACTTTTTCTGTAGTGGCTAGACAAAGCCCAGCACGCGTTTCAGCCATTCCCAATAAAATGGAACCTCAGTTTAGATCGGCTAATTTAAATCCGGATCTAATTGCAAGCAGACAATTTATATAAGATGCAATTTTGATTAGTTGCAAAGTGGGTAATAACCACAGCCAGTCGCACATCGATAAACCCATAAAATTAACATACAATTTTCATGGTTTTTATGTTCAGATATAAAACAATGAGCCCATTTGCATATGTTGAAGTAGAATGATAGTCCGTAGAAGAGAATACACTGTTGCTGGGCGAAATAAAAGTCAGTTGTTCTCACGTTACGAAATGGAAACCAGGTTGAAGGCCTCTCGCCGAAATGGAAAACTACTTAATTAGACGAAATGGAATCAAATTGTGCAAAATGACAATTGTAAGCGACAAATTCCATATACAAAATACAGTCAAAATTGATCAAAATCGATGCAAAGCATTTCCAATCAGTGATTTTGCATAAAACCCAGCGACTCATCCGAGCGGAAATGCATTGGGTGGGGCAAATCAGATCCATGCCTAGTCAGACTTGTTTTTCGAATCAGTTTTAGGCCGAACTTGGGGGGTTAGGCCACTCCACTCTGAATTTGTTAGAAAATCGATCAGGTTTGCTGGTTTAATAGGTGTCTAAGTACTCCCAAATTAAGTCAAGCCGAAATCGGACTTAAGTTCCTATTGACAAAGTTCTGACTTACGAATTCTTCATTTATAATTTAGAATAAAAACAAACTATTTTAAATAGGTTCTAATTGACAAAGAAGTGTATAAAATTTGTGTTTTAGATAACTATAAAAAAGTTTTTAGTTACTTTTTATTGAAAATTAAAATTAATAAGCTAAATGAATTGATTTCGTTGATATGATAATTTTTGAAAAACTGAAATGACTTCGAGCAAAGATTTCGGAAAACATTTTAAAATATTTAAATTACTCTAATGGATTTTATAAATTAATTATATATAAACTTATAAACTTTTTAATTTTTGTAGGTATCCAAATATGTCTGTGCTGCGAGCACTCCTCCTGCTGGCCCTGAGTGCCACCGTGGCGCTGGCCCAGCGTCGCCTGGCCCTTCCCGATCCAAGGAGTTGCGCCAACCGGGTGCGCCATGCAAGCTACCGAGATGCCCGGGGTGTGTCCCACTCATACTTCTTCAGCTGGGAGCATGCTCCCACTCGCAGTCTGGAGGTGGATTGGCTGGATGCAAGGAACATCTGCCGTCGGCACTGCATGGACGCCGTTTCGCTGGAGACGCCGCAGGAGAATGACTTTGTGAAGCAGCGGATCTCCAGGGGCAATGTGCGATACATCTGGACCTCGGGCAGGAAGTGCAACTTCGCCGGCTGCGACAGGCCCGATTTGCAGCCCCCCAACGAGAACGGATGGTTCTGGTCGGGATCGGGGGCCAAGATTGGACCCACCTCGCAGAGGAATACCGGCGACTGGTCCGCAACGGGTGGATACCAGCAGCCGCAGCCCGACAATCGGGAGGCCGCCCAGGGCAACGACGAGAGCTGCCTGTCCATCCTGAACAACTTCTACAACGACGGCATCAAGTGGCACGACGTGGCCTGCCACCACATCAAGCCATTCGTGTGCGAGGACTCCGACGAGCTGCTGAACTTCGTCCGCTCCCGGAATCCCAATGTCCGCTTGTAATTCTAACTAGCCTTAGCCTGAGGGAGATGATTAAAATTTACATATTTATGTAGCCTTAAACGGAACATTGATTGGTTGATCGATTGATTGTTTGACTCATTGACTGTTCAATCCAACATTGATGGCTTCCAAAAAAACGCCTAACATTCGTTTGTTCGGTTTAGTTCGCAGCAAAAGTTCTATAAGCAAAATTTGTAATAACATTTCTGTGTCGATCCGCGCATGATAAACAAAATTGTTAAATAATTTTAAAAATTGTTAATAAATACAAATTGAACCCAACAGTGAAAGACTTTTGGCTTAAACATTTAATGCATATATTTTTATTTAGTTCTTTATACGATTTCACTAGAAAATGCATGTATGTAAATATATATCCATAGATCTGTTTAATAGGTATTTCCTTTATCTGAATACTTTGGTAAGTTCTGTTGCTTGCGGGAACTTATTCGTCTAGTTGTTAACACTAAGTCTAATTTCATTTACGTTTAGGAATAATTAAATTATTAAACGATTCTTTAGCCATTTCGAGTTTAGAAGAAGACACAAAGTTAGCAGATTTTATCTAATAAAGTAACTGGTACAGGTTGCATAGAGTTGTGCATCATTAGCCGATATCCTACCAAATTCAAAATTTAATCTGGCAAAATAAAATTAAAATAATAATAGGCAAGCTTAAAAGTAAATTTAAAAATAGTTTCTGGTTCCATTTTTTGTCAGGCATGCTTTGAAAAAATATACAATCATATTATATTATTTATAATGTGAAATAATAATAAATCAAATTGTTTAACATAAAAATCTAACAACAAACAATAGGGAATTTAAAACTTATTCGTAAAGCTTAGTCATAGAAATTAACAAGTGATTTCGGTTAACTGGAACTTATGGAACTGGTCGTTTAGCACAGAATATATAGTTCGGTTATCGGTTATGAATGGTGTGTGGAGTTCTGTGTGTTTATGTGGGAACTGTGGTGGTGGGTGTTGTTGCTGGTATTTTGCTCAACAAAATACGGTCCTAAAAAGGGAGAATTACAAACTCGTTAATACATAATGGAAAAGCATTGGGAAGGGTCACAGAACGTATGGTTAGATAAGCCAAATTTTGTCATGAAGCGCTTACGGTTAGTTTTTGGGTCGGATTAATAGCCATCAAATCTGGGTTTATTTTAGGGGGTTAGTCACATGCGCATTCCCTTAGCCGAGATTCAAACCGTTAAGCCCCAAATAGAGCTTTACCTGCCGCAAGATAATTTTTAAATTCAACGACAACATCAAACAAAGGAACACCTGTGAGTCTATGTTACGTCTACGTTGTGGTTACGCTAACACATTACGATCTCTACACAGAATCGTGTTATTTGAACTCTTCAATACTTGGTTTGTTAAGTTAGCTGTGCGTGTAGGTGACTGAGTTTCAGAATTTTGGTATCTTTTTTGTTATGATTTTGTTGAACTTAAGCAGTACTTGAGTTATTGGAGGCGCCACTGATCGCATTGAACAAAGCCATGCTGTTGCGTTGGTTTATGCTGTCGGCATCGTCGCCGAGCGGCTGGAAGGACTCGTCGTCGAGCAACTCACTGAGCGCCTGGCACAGCTTCTCGTAGTTCTCCTTCAGCACATGGTGGTACTCCTTCTGGTCCGCGCTGATAATCCGCTCGTTGAGGAACAGGGCCTTTTGGCAGACCACAATGAAGTCGCTAAAAGGAAAAGGTGCCATTTAATAGATTACTTTTTAATACTGTACAAAAAAGATTTGAACTGAGTTCCTTGGACTTATTATCAAGAAATAAGATAATAAAGGGCACGCTGGGCCAAGCTTGTGGTTGGTTACTAAGAAAACATACCGAAAGACATCCTTAAGATCTGCGACGCGATCCAATGAGAAGTTATTCACCACCTTTGCATCGAGGAAGGCGTGAGCGTAGGCCAAAGGACCCGCATTTACCGTCACCGCCACACTTCCCTGCAGACGCAGCTGCAATTTCTTCACATCGGCTGGTGGCAGAATGATCTCCTCCAGCTCTGAAACCTTAGATTGCATTTCATCGATAGCCACCTCGATGGGACTTAGTTCGATGATTTCGCGTGATTTTACGGGTATACGTTTGAGAACGTAGGGGAAGGAATATTGAGCTGCGAGGATTGAAAAGTTAATAATGAATGAAAAACCTGCATAAGATTATTCTTACTTTTTATAACCGTCTTGCGTTTCCATTGTTCTTCTACGCTTCCACGGGCTGCTCCCGATTTGGTGAACGGGGTTTCGTACATAAACGTGTCCACGTCATGATTTTGCTCGAATTCATTGAGCCTTTGGTCAAGCTCATCCTTGGAGAAGAACGGAATCACATGGGTGACCTGTATATAGGCAAGTTTGGCATCCAATTCGTCTACTTTAACCTAAAATATTAAGATGGATTTATGAAATTATATAATCGGTTTCATTAAGATGTTGAAGTTCTATAATTTTTTCGTTAAATCTATTAAATGCAAGGAATTGGTCGAACCTCTAGGCTGTCATATGGTGATGTTTTTAAGAACAATGGAATATTAGTGCTAAGAAATCGTGATATATACATTTAATTTTAATCGAAATCTATGAAAAACCACCTCATAACACTGAATGCGTAATCCTGACAAGAGGGTTTGCTATGCACGTTACTTTGAATCGAGTCGTCACACAAATAAATATCAGAACATCACTCTCCACCCTCAACTGATGTAGTTCAAACAACTCAACAACTTTACTAGGCACTAGTAAATTGTTTGTTATTTTTATACATCAACCACTCTTCGCACACTAGAGCCGCAATAGTATCCAAATTTTGTATTTCGCGTTCAGAATTTTGGCACAAACCACCAGTTCACCAGATCGCCGGAAACCCAGGCATTGATAACCAGATACCCATCTGTTTCCGTTATGGAGCAGATCTTCGCATTCCCGTCCCATGGGATGGGTCTGGGTTTGGTCCAGATGCCGCTTCAGAACACTGTTGCGACTACTGCGGAATACTCCCTCAATCCGAACGCGGTGGAGTTCGTACCCTCGTATCGCCAGAGATCAGAGTTACCAAGTGCCGAGACCAAAACGGAAGCGACCTCCACAACAACATTGCTTCATCCCGAAATCGTTGGGGATGCCGTGAATCGTGTGGATAATGGATTCCAAGTAAAGCGCCAGCTCTTCGATTTACTCAGCCAACTGGGAGATGAACAAATGCCCCTGGACGAGATCTCAGTGGGTTTGTTACCACGTGGCCAGGGTCTCACCATGACTTTCACCACAAAACAGGCGGACCAGCAGCTACAGCCTCCGGATCCAATGAGTTCGATCATCCATGAGCGCCAGAGCCTTCAGCTGGCTGTGGGCGATCAGCAAAAGCTGGCCAGCCGACCGGAAAGCGTCCTGGTGGCCCAGTTTCTAATCCGAGTTAACGATATTCTCAGCGAGAAGTATGAATACAGCGGAGATGTATCCGTCTGTCCCAAGTGCACTCTATGCTCCAATCGTAGCTACACTGAGCTGGAAATCGAGAACCAGATCGAAGGCATTAAGGCCTTCGAGAAGTTCTTCACCTTCACAGAATCAACGCGCTACCAGGACTTGGTTTCCCATAAGGCCTTCAAGGAACTTTGCCACAAGCTTGGCTTGATCGTTAGCCGTGATCAGATCCACATTAATCGAGCTGATAGTAGGGTGAGCACAGTAGTCCCTCCACCCACGGCACAGTCTTCCAGTGTCACCGTTTGCATGTCCAACAACGAGATGGAACCAGGTGTGGAGGCAGATGCTTATGCCGGAGATGACGAGTCCCAGATGCACGGCAGTGATCTGACACCTAGAGGATGTCCAGGTCCGTCTATTCCAACGGAATATGTGAGAGGGAAGCTTTACAGGTGGGTGTTGATTTGGGGCAACAATTTAAAAGAATTTTGTTGACCGTTGCATAATTTCAGATATGAAGATTCCGAGGGATCGCAGCTGGTCAACCAGCTAAATGAGGCTCACCAAAGTACCGAGCCCATGATGATCGATGACTTCCATTTGGATGTGTCACCAACAACGCCGGCCCAATCTATAATGGCCACCAGTGTGCCTTCCACCTTTCCTCGGGTGTACAAATCGGCAAAGGCCAAATGCTCGGCTCGAGGGGCAGGATCTAGTGGCCTCCACGGCGGTTCTCAGTTACCCAGGAGTTCTGTTTTTGGCCGTTCATTGATGCAGTCGGTACAGAACACGCCCTCAACCTTGCAGAAACTTCAGACCACGACGGTTGGTGGCCATATTCAGCCCGGATCTACTGGCCAACGAAAGCTCCAAATGGAACCGTCCCTACACGGTGCAGTCCGCAAGCTAAATCGCTTGAATTCGGCGAAATCAGGATGCGTTCACCAGCAGTCGGGCAATATGTCAGCAGTTCAGACAGGTCGCGTGAGCAGGCCAGGAAAAGCTACTAACTCAGTACAGAAACAGCAGTCAAATCATACGTGAGTCATAACATAAGCACTTTTCCAACTTTCAAATCCATTATCACTTTAAAAAAAACTCAAAAAATATTTACATGAATTTAATTATCTATTCTGACTTGTATCTAAAATTGAACCATCATGAACCCCACTGATTATACTTTTTTCTTAGTTGCAAGGCGGGCAAAAGTACCGCGAGCAACAGGATGGGCACCCCCACTCCTAAGCAACCCCATGGCACCGCGCAGCGAATGATCCCAAGAAGCACCAACGCTTCCATGATGCGTCAAACAGAGGTTAAGCGGGTAATAATATATCATTACTATTATAATACTATAATAATCTGCAATCTATTTACAGCGCATGAGCCTGATGCGCGGTGACAGCGATGCGGATCTGCTCTATAATGAATATCTCTTCAAATGATTTGCAGCTGAATTGCATGGATTTGTTGCTTCTATTTAAAATATAATTATTTCTCTAAACTCAATAGCCCAACAAAAAAACTTTTTGTACTTATTTTCCTCGAGGGTTAGAAATTTAATTGAAAGCCAATTCTACTCACCGGTGACGAGTCCATGATCATCTTCACCACATCGGCTCCAAACTTATCCTTGTACTGCTTGCCCAGTCGCTCAGAGATTTCGCTCAGCGAAGTAAGCTTGGGTTCCTTGTACACGTACTCGATGGCATGGTCCTCTTCAAAGTACATCTAAAAATACAAAAATGAATTATTTAGATATACAAAGTATTGTGAGATCGCTTACCATTCCATAGAAGACGACTCTGTAGAAGCGACCCAACATTCTTTTCCCAGAACGATTCACCTCCACGATCTTGTTATAGGCTTGAGTGAGATGTTCGTAGCAGTGAGCCAGGTCCAGAAAACTACGATCCCTTTCGTACATGGGCAGGATGAGTTTGTAGAGCTCTCCGAGGCACTCGAATCTTTCAGCGCGGTCCAAGAAATCGGCACACTGCTTCAGTTGCTCAAGGAGCATTTGTTCCGTGTACTGGGAGTCCTGAGCACCTGCATCCAGTTTAAGACCCTGCTCATCTCGGGGTATATTCGTAGATATCTTTTTGAAAGCGGTGGATGACCAACTGAGAGTGCAACCTCCTTTTAAACGAAGATATTCGCACATCAAAGCAGCTATATGCAGATGGCAACAGGCGGCCTCCGAGAGATTTCCGTTCTGCTCGTGATTTCTGGCCATGGTCACCAGCCAAGTGTGCCGAAGCTCCGGCGTGGAGGCATATGAATTGGCTAGCGAATACTGTAGTTCGAGCAATCTTTCGGGATCCATATGATGGGCCTGCATCTGGGCCGTGGCCATAAGTACAGTGCGCACTCGACGAGTTAGATCCTTGACCTCCATGGGAAAACCTGTGCCCTTCATCGCCTTATCGCTATTCGCATAGCTGTTGATGATGGACAAGCTCTCCTGAAACCTGGCATTGTTCAGTCCAATTACGTTGCCAATCATCTGCGATACTGAGATTATAACTTGCAGGTGTACTCGGGTTAGTGCTTTTCTACCACTGAACTCAAAGTTACTGCGCATGAGGAGGTACAAAACAGCGCACGACTCATGGCGAATCTCCACCAGGCGACTATCGCAGGCTTTAAGGAGCTCATAGACCATCTGACCACACAACATGGCATTGCCTTTAAACAAGGCCACTGCATAGTTGTTAATAAAAGCTCTTAAAGCAGCGAAGACGTGTTTGGAAAGCCTTTCCGATTGGCCCAACTGCAGGAATCTCAGGTAAACCCTGGCCACCTTGGGCAAGATGAGGCTGTCTGCCAGGAGTTGTCTGAATTGCAGGACATACATCCCTAAGCAATCCAATATTATCATGCCCACTTCAGTGGCCAAATTGGATTCATAAAGAGCCAACTGACTCCTGGCCAGAGTGTCCATATCCTCTAGTAGATGTTCCCTGGTTTGATTCAGAGTTCCACTGTTTGGCTGCTGTTCCTGGTTGCCGTTTTCCAACCCTGTGGGTGGTTGTGTCCTTGCTGGAAGAGTGTTGGCCTTGGCCGAACGTCCTTGGCGGGTGTCTGGAGTTATCACCACACTTTTCTTGCCCACATAGCGGAATTGCAGGAGGCAGAGATCCAGAATGGAGAGAAACTGTAGGGTCTCGGACTCATTGCAGTTCTGCCACCAGCCCACCATTTGGTCCTGTGATAGGTGTTTGATGATGAACAAGAAGCCCAGGAGCAGGTCCTTGCTCTCCGCCGAACTGAATTTATCGCAGCGGGAGAGGATCTGTGCGTGGGTAACGCTCACCGAGCGATTGTGGCCATTTCGCAGGGCCACATCTGCATCTCCATTGGTGTAGGCTCCAATTGTGGTCGTGTCCTGAGAGTGCTGAAAATAAGGATGCATGTTAGTAGTGGGCTCACTTGGAATTAATTGACTAAACCAAAGACTCACCCCCGAATCCGTATTGGAATTTAGTGAGAGATTCGAGATGCCATTGCTAATTGGCTGCCCAGCGATGGCGGCCAGGTAGTTGTGCTCCTTGATGTGAACCGAGGTGCGGTAAGGACTCGGTTGATCGCAGTGCAGGGTCAGTCGGTTCTTCGAACGCGGAGTGGACGTCAAGGAACCAAAAGTGGAGGAGTCCTTGCTAAACACATAGCTACTGGAACAACTCAAGCGCTTGGTATAGGACGCGGAGTCCGCATAAACATGTCCATTGGGCGTACAAGCTCCAGACTCTGAAAGGTCATCAATCCGATGGATGTTGTCCATCACAACGCCCAGCCATGGAACATAGAGTAGGGCTATCCTCGAGAGCTGACCCCTCTGCTGATATCGATTGTCCAGCTCGTGTTTGGCCAGCAGATCCTTGAAGATTCCCAGAGCATGACGCCTAACATGGCCAATTTCATTGAGACTACTTTTCAGTTCCTGAAGAAGCAATCCCGATAAGAAATGCTGCCTGCAGAACTGCTCGGACAAAGTGAAGTGCTGCATCATCTCAGGCGGTCTGTTCTTCGGATTCAAAACAAATGGCAGATTAAGGGGTACATAGTGCTCATGCTGACAGATCTCTTGCAGAAAGTTAAACTTGTATTCGTGAAGTATCCGCGTATTGCCAGGCGAAAAGTCAGCCATATAACAGCGAATCAATCGAAAGACGAATCCTCTGTCCATGTAACTGAGGCATTGGCGCACAAATTTAGCCAAAGAGCGATTCAGCAGATGCGTCTCCTCGCCCAAGTCCTCATATCGGGTGGTTATGTACGGCATTAAGACCTTGATCAACTGCTCCACCCGATCGGCGTACTCCTTGGGAAACCGCTCGTTGCGCAGCATTCGAATCCTTCCGGTGGCCAACAAATGTTGAGCCATGCTCTTCACAATCAGATCGAAGAATATCGAGGAGTATCTCATGAACTTGTTAACGATCAGGAAATCGGGATTGCTGGGATTCAGGAGGTAGGGTAAGTGCCTGCACAGTTCCCCATGGACAGTCCTCTGTCTGGCTGTTTGCTGGCTGTAGTAGGGTGCATGGAATACGTATTTCACATAGGCTGCCAAAAGATCGGGTCTCTTGGCCTGATCGCTTATCAAATGGATAATGTTCGTTATCAAGCGGATGACATTCAAGCCTATTTCCTCGGATTGAGTGTGAACCAGCAAGGTGAAGAGCTCATTGAGAACCGTGGGTAAATAGTTAATCAACGATTTCATATCGATGGCATGGGCTGCTTTCAAAATCTTGCACGTTTCCGTTTCCGCCGGCACGGCTCCAGTTTTCCCGCCCTCCAGCAATCTCTCACAGTGTCCAAAAAAGTTATGCAAATGCTGATCGGCCGTAAGCACCGTGGAGTCCAGACGCAACCCCACCGTGTATAGATTCCTCTGATTATCGATCCACTGGATATCCGGACCGCAGTTCTGCTGAGAAATTGGAAGGGTTTGTAGGCAGCCAAGGGAGGGTTTTGGGTGGTGGTGGTGGTGGTGCAGTAAGCATGCAGATCAGTGCGGAGAAAAAAAACACAGAGAGAGAGCAGAGGTTAGTTGGCAAGTCGGGGAATGAATGGATGTATGGGGCATGAGGTATGTTGGGTAAGAGACAAAACAAACAATTCATGAGTTGATGAACGGCTTTGCGAAGCACACAACGTCTATAACTTACCCCCTTGCCCCATCCCAAGGGCTGAATCGAAAGATAGCCCACTGGCAAGGTGGCAGCCACCGGCAGCTGCTGTTCCTCCAAACAAATTCTGTTCTTCTGGAGCAATGGCAACCAGGCATAACCAATGGGTGTCTCAAAAGCCGCATTTGCTTCCCTCTTCTTGCTCAGATTACAGGACACATGGTAAAAGGAGAAGAGCAGGTGGTGTTCCGGAAACAGACCCAACGGAAGTCGCAGTTTGATCTCCTCGTACCAAGTGGGAGTCACATTGTGATGAAGCACTGGACAGGCGATCTGGGATACCAAAAGATCCTGGCCAGGGCGACCATAGATGCACTGCAATTAAGGGAAGTCATTTAGATTTTTAAATATTTTGTATAATTGTAGAAGTAATTTTCATCTAACCTTCAAAGGTTTGCTGTACTCCCCATCTCCATCCCGTAGCTCCACCACCACCGTGATGTTCCTGGCTCGGGAGAATAGTTTCTGGCTGTCGAATTGCAAACTCAATGGATACACATAGAGGTGGTTACAGAAGCTCGTATAAGGATGTGCATCCCGTTCGCTTTGGCTCTGGAATTCGGCCAACTCAATAGTGGGCGATTGCTTGGAAGATGGATTATAGGTTGACAGAGGAGCCAGGGATTTGCTCAAGCCACAGGGAGTGGTTTGGTCCAGGAACTGCATCTGCATCTTTAGGCTACCAGGAATGATGGTTAGTTTGCTCAGTTTCTCGGGCTTGCGAAAATCGACCAATAGCTTTAGGAGTTCATCGTCCTTAAGTTTTGGTAATTCCTGGCGGTAAATGGGACTGAATTCAAACTCCTTTTTGGGATCCACATCCAATTCGTGGCTGTACTGCTTGAACAGAGGTCTTGCTGCCCAGGCAAAAGGCTGTCTATAATGCCCAATGTAATGAGCGCAGTTCTTTGCCGCTTTGTAGACTTTCTGACCCAATTTCGGATCCTTGCCTGCTTTTAGATAGGGTTCTGCAGCCTGAGCTATTCCAGATTGCAGGAGTTTTTCCACTCGCACTACCTGTTAGATGAAAGTTATTATCAGTATGGGATTAAGATAACATAATTAATATACCAACCAAATAGATATCGGCATGTGGGGCTGTAACAGAAAGCAGACACTGCCTGAGTTGCTGAAATTGCTGGCGATTCGCTCGTAGCAACTCGGCGGAGACTCCATCGAACAGGGAGTGAGGTGCCTGGGAGGAGGAGTTCCTCTCATCGCCATCCGCTGACTTTCTAGGAACTCCGCAACCGGCCACAGATGAAGGAACTGGGGTATTCGGTAGTAGCTGGGCTGCCCAATGCTCATTAACGTTGAAGTAAAAGTTCTCGCTCAACTTTCGATTCGCCTTGGCATCGTACAGGGCCAGGCTGGTGATATAGGGCTCCACTTGCTGTTCAACTCCAGACGTCGAGCCCTCGTCCTGTGGGATGCACTGCAGCCGGAAGCGCAGGTTGTGGCAGGTGAGCAGCAACCGTGTGCCAAAGTGCTCTCGATACTGCTCGATATTATCACTACCACTGCTCTTGGCTGGCGACTGATAGCAGGCGAATAACCGACGCCGCTGTTCCCTTCTGGCCAACGCAATAGAGTGATCCGTTTCCCTTCCGTACTTCATCAGTTGAGGGTGCAGTGATTGATCTAACCCCTTGAGGGTGCCAAAGATTTGGGGTTCCATTGCTGGCGGCTGCAGTTGGGGGCTTGGATTCGAACTAATGGAGGGCTGACGCTCCAGCGAAGCATTTCGCTTCTCCTCTTGGGCACGATTTTGGGCCAAAACCGAGGAAATTTTGCTCAGCCAGTCCTTAAAGTCCTGCTCGTTTTCGGCGGCCAGGGTGAAGGATTTATGACCCGTTGTCATGCGGAGTTCGAAACAAAAACGACCACGTTTGGGATTCTTAAAAGGAATTATTTGTGGTTGAATATGATATTTAGGGTTATTTGTAACCACTCACCTGCACCACATCGGTGCAAAAATCCATGACTATAGTGGCTTTAGCCTCGCCCTGCTTCTCATCCTTGTGCAGTTCCAATATGTAGGTGCCATCGATCTCCTGCCGCAGATAACAATATCTACGCTTAAAGGACTTGTTACCAATGTTGGCAAACATTCGATCTGAGGCCGAATCGGGTCCTTTTAGGAGATACCCCTGCTTGGTAATGGTGTCCGCCTGGGAACGAGTCATCTGCTCGTCAATGCGATCCTGATCTGCATCGATTTCATAGACCTCCTCCAGCAGTTCCTCAGCAGGGGAGATACTAAGGAATAATATTTTCATAAGATTTCAGCTGGTTAAAAATTAACATATTCCATATTTACCTGGGCAGATCATGGCAATTTCCACCGTAAGCATTGTATTTATAGTGAATCAAATGATTTTTTGCCCTGTAAGTGTACAACGCCTGCCGTGTGAATCGGGTGCACTCCGCTCTGGATCCATGAGGCTGTCCATCGACCAAATCCTCGCCATGGCCATCGTCCGCAAATTCATCCACCTCCTCCGGCTGAGCCAAGTTGGAGCGGAGCGTGATCGAGGACAGGGCTGACTCATATGAGGAATCCTTGTGGCTCGAGGAGCCATTAGAGCACTGAGAACTCTTCCTTGAGAGTTGACCGTGTCCATTGGAATTTGTCAAACTGCTGCTACTGCTGCTGCTGGTGTGTCCATTCCCATTGTGGTGACTCCCATTCGACTGAATGCTACCCTGTCGACTCACTTGACTGTGCCCATTTCCATTCGAAATGATGGATGGACCATGAAGAGGGCAAACAATCGCCTCATTGGGGGGATCGAACCTGTCGGCCACAGATTTGGCGTTGGTCCGCTGCTTGCGCGGCATAATAATCTCCTATTGGGAAAAATATAACATATAAAACATAGTTGTAAGTAAATATATTTAATATAAAAAAGTATTATTATTTTTCTATAGAGATCTACGTACCGAGACATCATCTGCGGGATATATGAGTAGCTCCCTCTGTGGATCATTTTGGATAACAGTTTTATTTTTAGCTATAAAGGCTTCGAAGTCGATCGGCTCCACCACGAGTGGCTTGTTCTGAAATGAAAAGATTGAGATAAGTATAAGATTTTATATCCCAAATGTTTGTTTGCTAATTTATGCGGGCTACTTGTAAAAGCAGAGCGTCTCTATTAATAGCACTCCCCACCAAAAAAATAATGCCCAAATGTTATCCATTCCCGATGCCCGAATGCAGGCGGATTTTGAAAGATTTATAGGTACAACGCACGCCATAAATTTATGGTTACTTTGTGATGTGTTAGTTAAATTCTGTTTTCCACTCCCCCGCACAGAGAAGACCTTGACCGCATTACAAAACGGATGCCACCTCTTCTCCCCCATTCGGGTAATGATATTTTCCATGTCTGCCACTTGGCATAAACAAATTCATTTCGTTTAAACATTATAACAGTTTAGCATTTTGCATTTCTTAGCCCCCGCAGGCAGTTGTTGATATTTTCAGCTTTTGCGTTTTAGATTTCCCAAGATGATGATGAAGATACTATAATATCTGTGTTGGTGTGAGGCGTGTGACCCAACCTGTGACCCCACCCTTTATGACATGTCCGTAGAGAGTTAAAGTGCCACTTCCGTTTTGGCATATCCATTTCAGGCGACTTTCGGAAGTGCTGTCACTTTATTGTTTTCTTGAAATTCGAGGTGTGTGGGCTTGTTTTCTGTTTTGTTCTTGGGCTTGGTTCGTTTTAGGAAGATCCAGGTCAATTCAGGCCATGGGAAAATGGCATTTCAAACTGTGATGAATTCCGTTTAACTGCGCATATGTGGGGACATTGGGGAAAGGATTGTCATAGGTTGGGAACGGTTATTACAAATAATATAGAACTTGAATTGGGTTATTAATATGAATGCTTCTAATATGTTTTTAGGTAAATCAAAAAATGAAAAACCTCAATGAAAATGTAACAATGTATTATATTCATTAAAGCAATGTTTAATAAATGTTAGATACAGGGGTCTAGACAGGGGATGTATTATAATATACTAAAAACAAAATTATGAAACACTCCCCTGAAAACTTTCTGCCTACGGCACTGGTTAGATAACAGTTTTATGAATAACTTAAAAGTTCCCAAAAAATATATCAGTACTTCCATATTAAAATAATACATTTTTATGATTTTCCAAAATTAGATAGGGTTTTGCTATTAAAAATCATTTAACTTATTTCCTATCACTTAGCAGTGTCAGATATTTAAGGTTACCTGAGGTTTCTAGCTTAAACGTTTTACCTATAAACTTCTCAAAAAGTTATAAAGTATTGACAGGCAATCTATCTATATCAGCTGTCGGCTTGTGCAAGTGGCAAACCTTGGCTTTGGCCCTGATTCCACTCGTGTGCATTTCGTGCCCAGCCACGCCCACATAAGTGAGTGCCACCCGCCCCCTTTTTTTTAGTACGAGCTGCAATGTCAATGCACTCGCCCACTTAGCCACTTTTGAGAGTGAGCTCGGGGGAAAGCATTTTCCATTGTGCGCACAGGTTCGGGCCTTTTCCTGGGGCTCCTCCATTTCGCCTCTTGGCACGCACTGCATGCAAATTGGCAGACGTCGCCGCTTGCGTAATTAAAACCGCAAACCGGCGACAAATTAAATGGAAAAAAAGCTACAGGTAAAACTACTCGAGTGCATGGGCATTATGCAAAAAAGGTAAACTCATCTGGGATCGGCCAATTACCAAATCAATTTGGCAGCCCAAAAGGCCGAGAAAGTTGGGCAAACATTTTCGGTGGCTAATTGTTGTTTTTTCAGGGGTGTGTTTTGGCAAATGCTAAATGAAAAGCCAAACTTTAAATTTGAAAAATGCAACGCCATGTTGGTCGATCAGCAGACACGCAAATTTTGCGGTGGAAGACTTCATCAGGCTCAACTGGTCCACCAAGGCGTGAAGACCTCAGAGATTCACCATCGACCATCACTCGAAGTCATCAGCCACTTTATGTTAAGCAGTTATGGCATTATAGCGTGTTTATTTCAGGTATTAACTTTTATTATCGTATCTCACCAGATCTCCAGAAATATTATTGAAATGTATTACCAAAATAAATAAAATCAAAGTAGCTTGGTTATAGACATTTGATTAAAACTGTTTTTACTGTTCACTAGCACAACATTGAATTCAACTATTTCATTATTTGGTAACACACCTTTAGATAAAATCTCTAATAAAACTTAACTACTTACCCCAAAAATAATTCTAATTGAAATCTGTAAAATTAATGACAACTGTTTGATTACTTTCTAGCACACCTTTGAATTCCCAGAAATTAATTACAACTGTTTTGTTATTTGGTTTTCTATAGAAAATAAATTTTTCAGATTTTTCAAATTTTCTTTCTGGCTATTGCATTCCGACATCTCTGATCACTATCTTCGCCAGCAGCCAGTTTCAATTTAATGTTAGCGGTTAGAGGCGCCTCGGCTGGAAAAACGTGACGATTTATGCATATTTCAGTGAAACATTGACCAGGCCTCAAGAGGCAGTGGCATTCGTACCCCCCTCACCACCCAATTTCCCCTTATAAACAAGGCTTGACTTTCATTGATTTTGCCAGAGCAATTGGCCCTGGCATGTCTTGAATGTCACTTGAGTTGGTGGTGTCCCTTCATTTTCCTCGCTTATCAATTGAAATTGCCACAATGCGGCAGATGCCTTCATCTATAGTATATCTGCCATATATACTCGGACAGTATGGGGAATTGGTGGAAAGGGTCACAAAATGTCGGCTCGGCTCATTCAGATATCGCTTTGAAGTGGAAACCGTTCAAGTGGTCTATACTGTATACTGTTCTCTTCCCGATTTGCATTTTGTGGGCACGGAATTATTGTGACTAAATTTAGCTTAACTTAATGCATATGATTTGTTGTGTCTGGTGAACTTTTGACCCACACGAATACAGTTTTTGAGAGCTTGGTAAGTGGAATCAGAAGTCAAAAACATTTCAAGGGGATTTCAGGGAAATAACAACCCTTTTGGAAATAATAGTGTAAGTGCTGAAAGTCATGAAAGGGTGGAATTCCCAGTCTCTAAAATAGTTTTTCATGCCTTGCAAATATAGTTTCGTTTTTATCTCGCAACTTTTACTACATTTTCATTCAGCATTCGGGGGTTTTTTGCTTTTTCGATCTACATAAACAAATATATGGAACAGAAAGTATACAAATGTTATGATTTGTTTATTTGCAGTGTATGGTCAATAGAAAAAACGGCAGCTGGCATCCGTTCTGGGCTAGGAATGATGGGGCATATAAATTCCATAAATTTATGCCCATGCAGGGATTTCCTGCTCTGCCAGCGAACATGAGCCGTGGAATGCATGAAAAGAATTGTACTGATAAAGTCCATATACAACCCATATTTATATTGTACTGTGTGTATAAATTACATGGCAAAGTTTTCTTTATCAGTTGCTTGACCAAAGGAGAGGTTTGTCCACTCATCGGATTTGCAACTTGTAAACAGGTTTCAGCCCAGAGAAACATTTGTTTTGGTCATCTTCGGTGGGTTTCACTGTCCACTGTTGGTTCAACGAACTCAATAACATGTTTAAATAAAATTAAAAACCCAAGACAAGTGCAGATCTGTAACTTGCCCACCCATAAAGGTGGCGACAAGTCAGCAGTTTTCCTCACCCATTCCAGACATACCACTCAAACATGTTGCTAAAAAATAAATAAAAACTGAAAACACAAGTAAGCCGAGTAAAAACCCAACTCAACAAATTTCTCGCATTTAGTTATACAACTAAATAATTTATGGCCCGAGCAAGAGTTGAACTTTCTAAGCTTGATATTCTATTCAAAATGGTCAACGAATTTCACCCAGTTCCAAGTCCGATTCGTAGGCAAATTTACATGTCCGGACAAATGAGGAAGCTTATCATTAACTCCGTTCAATTCAAAGTAAATACTTTGGCAGCGGCGGCATTCATTAGACGCCTTTTTGTTGTCCGCACAATGAGGGAAACATGCCGGAGAAATGTCGTCTGCATAAGCGGCATTTAAATCATAAGAGCGATACGAACTATAGCATAACTATTCGATATTTATGCACTAAGCGTCCGCCGATTGGCGTTATGTAAGCCTCGGATGGCGATAATGTGTGACGCCGTTTTAGACCCGTTCAAATAGGCTTTGGTTCAGGATGGGTAAAAGTTCCGCAAAACACTTTCATTTCTTGCACAATTTAAGATTAAATATGGGAAATATATTAGAGAACACGCTAGAGTTGATTACACTATTTTACAAAATAATACAAGAAGAATACGAATGACCTAAAAACACTTCCTAAGGGATTAACATGAACCCCCTTACGTTTGGCAATACTGAAATTCAAATTTCAGGCGTAGTTCTGTTACCGACCAAAGCTATTATAAATACAACTAAATCTATTTTAACATGAATTTTGTCCAAATATGGCTTGTTTGGTTCGTGACGCTAACTTGGAAATTATTTTTTGTCGGATTATTTCGAGTGCTTACGATATCAACTGACGTTACGGCCACTAAATTGTTAAAAAAATACCTCATTTTCAAAATTTGACGAGTTGAATCTCACAATATACTATATTTAGCCTATTCATTTATTCGGCAAAATTAAAAGATGACATATAGTTGTAAACTAAAAAATTATATCACTCAAAACTTCTGTTATCCATTACTATATTATATTTGCAAATTCTGGGAATAATATTTTTAGGATGTATATATTTATTGCAAATTAATTAAATATAAATACTAAAAGAAAGAATAGAAGCTTAGAATTCTTCAAGTTCGGGGACTCTAATCTCTCACTGCATACTCTGTAAAATTATAAAAATAATTCACTCGACATAGAAAGCACTTGTTTGTCTATGAAGCAGGTGAGACCCTTAATGGTTTTAACCTGCCAAGGTCAAAAGCTTAACTGGTTTGCACATTGCAGGCAACTCGTGTTGGCCAACTCAACCAGAAGTACAAGAATAACCAGAAGCAACCTTGAGGACAATATGTGGGGGAAATGAAAAAGACTGCACCAGCAAAAACAAAATAATTGCCCTAAAAGCAGGAAAAGCAAGTTGGCAAAAAGTGGAAAAAAAGCCATGGAAAACCCAAGGCAAAAGACAAAGACACAAAAAGTTCCCACGCAGAAATGCGAGAAAAAAATCTTTAAAAAAAATATAGAGAAAGAGAGGCAGATAAATAATCATATAGGAAACTCATCCAGTATCCAGTTCTTGGTCATGTCTCGTTGGTCAGCTAGTAATTAGCCATCGGCCATCGAACGGCGCTAAAAGAAAGTAAAAGAAAAGCCGAGAAAAGCGCACACGCATTTTTCGAGTAAAAGAGCCAAACAATCGAACGTCAAACACAGGCTGACAGAATATTGTGGAAGATGCTTTAATTGACGACAACAGTAGCCCCGATATCTTCACATTTACAGATGCCTTGGAAAGTTGACAGTTGCAGTGCAGTTTCAGTGGAAAATTGGGTGCCGGCGACGAGAAGAGATGGATTCTGCCATGTGTGGCCGGGGCAACTTTCTAAAAAGTACTTAGCACTTTCAATTACAATTGTACAATGCGTCTGCGCAACGGCGAGTGGCCGTTTAAAAGCCGGCTGCGAGAATCTGGCAAACTAATTACATTTATGGTCCCCTCGGTTTTTCATTGTGTGTTTGCCATGGGAGAGTGTGAAATATGTGTTAATTACACGGCGGCGAATGGCCATCGTAAAATTCAAGTGTCTCTCATTAATTGCTCAATTGTCGAGAGATCCCAAACGAAATCTCCGGGGTCGACAGACTCGCATTTGGCCAAAAGCTCAAGTGCCACACGACACACCCATTTCATAATCTTCGGCTTGCCATTTAATGCCAAATTCGAGGACCCAAGCCGGAAAACTAGTTTTCAAAGTGGGAGTTTGTTTTGGAATTAGAGAATATGTTTTTGTGTGGGTGAGGTAAAGGTTGGCTTAAATGCTATATTTAATACATTTTGCAAGAATGTTTAGTCCAAGCTAACTCAATGTATTCCCAAAGGAATATATGTATGTTAAAAACATTTTTATTCAACATTGTAAAGGAAGCCCAGCAGTTTCTTTCGTGTTTTTATCTTAATATCAAACAAAGAAATTTTATGCGATTTTAATTAGCAAATTAAAGTGCAAATTATTGCCAGTTCATTAATTTTAAGACATGCTACCAGTGATAGAGCAATAAAAACAATCAAATTAAAACCAATTTGAATAAAATCCAAATTTTATCTCTTAACTAACATTTTTAATTTGATTTTGAATTTATAAAAACAGCAAAGAAATATGTCAAAATATTGTCGGTTCCTACTCACTTTGGGCAACTGAAACCCGGAGAAACAACAGATCGTGCTGTCTTTTTGAGGGCATTCGAAACGATGCCCAATAGCAACTTTCATTCTGCGAAAGAACAAAAGCCTCCGCTTACAAAAGTTGCACAGAACAAAGAATAAATCACACATGCAGATGGGAATAAAGGTTACTGACATGTCAAATGAATGTTTGCGTCTATGCCAGTAGCCTTTTTACCCATTTACCGAATGGGAATGAGATACAGTGGAACCGACAGACGCAAAACTCCGGCTGGATATTTGCTCAGAACTTCAAACACAAAGCTCGCACTTTGTGATTGCCAAACGGAAGCGAGTTTAGTTGGTTTAGTCGTAGTTGTCTGTGTTTTTGTTTTGTATTATTTTGCAGTTGGTAAGTGTGTCAGCTGTAGCAAGTGCTAACGGCTTACTCACACCCGCACTCCCTGTCTGTTACCCTTTTTCCTACTTAGCGCTTCTGGCCAAAAGTGAATGACATTTGCATAAAATATTTGCCAAACGGTGCGATATGGCGGGAAGAATCTATGGCATTGATATGTACAGCGAGAAAAATAAATATCACATATTATCATAATTGAAGGCACCCATGAAATACATTTTTTAAATAATAATTTCTTACCTAAAACATGTTCATTTAGTAGTGTATAATAATGTGTTTTATATGGATATGTCGAGAAAAAATTTTTATGAAAATATCAATGATAGTGATCATGAAATTAAATTATTTATTTTTAAAATATTTATTTTTATATAAAAATATTTTCAATCCTATGTGACTTTTTTTGATTTGAGACCATTAATTTTCATCATATTTACTTATTTTACGTCAATAATAATGAATAAAATTAATTTATTACTGAACACTTAATTAAGACCATTTGGAAAGACCATTTGAATTCAAGTTTCTTTCTCATCCGTTAACTGTGCAAATATCTCTTTATGCAAATGTAGTTTCTCTATAAAGATGGGAGATCCCATAAGTAAAGTGCAGCGGGAATGGTAAGGATGGGTCCGATGTGCAAATGATTTCGATGTAAACAAGTAAAACTCGGCAACAAAGTTAAATCGAAATGCGACAAGTTGAGTTGGAGTGGGAGGTCTAAAATGGTTTTCATTATGCAATAGAGCAAAGTGCAACAGCACCAACTCCAACAAAAACGAAAACAATTGTCAACAATAATTGTTGCAAATCAACAAAAAAAAAGTTGTCCGGAGTGGAACATTTATCATGAATAGAGGTTTAAACTTCAATGTGGGTGAAGAGTGGGCATAACCATATATGTACAAAGTACATCTGTGTGGGAGGACTTATTTCAAAACATACTTCCAATGTATTGATGATTTCATTGAGTCCATACACAATTTTATTCTAGGCAATAATAATTAGTATTTAAGATACATAGGTAGTTGAATAACATTTTAAATTTTATAATGTTTATATAACTTAATCTCATTATCTTAGGCAAAATATTCAATGTTATCTCTACTTAAACGTAAGAGATTAAGGCATTATCGCATTATCATGTTTACATAATGATAGGAAGTAGTTAAACAGAGGTGTGAAAAGACTTTTATGTTTTTCAATGAAATATTTGTAAAATCTCTCAGAATACAAGATCCGAAGGTCAGAGAAAAGAAAGCGAATTTAGATTTATTATCATTATAACCTTTAAGGTAAGTACCACCCAAAAACCTCTTAAACTTTCGATGCAGAAAGAGAAAACGCCTGAGCAGAGACAAAAGACCCTTCCAAAACCATATGACAACATTCGAAGTTCCCTTTTTCTATTTTGATAAGCTTGCACCGCGACCAACGAAAATCTCCACAATACTTTACACCTTTCACTTCCACCGGGGAGAGTTTCTCCTACAAATTTACAGCCCATCCATGATCAGCACTTGACTTGGCACCTTTCTTGGTTCTTTCACATTTACTTCATTCACAGTTTTCCTCAACTTTGTTTTCGCATTTTAATACTCTTTACTCTTGTAATTTATCAGTGCAGAAATATCTGGTACATTAAAATGCTATCAATTTGTACGAGTTGTGGGCAAACAATATTGCTTATTATAGACAGACTGTAAAAAACCGTGAAATTCTTGAAACATCGACTGTGAACAATGAAAAGACGAAAAAAAATTTAAACAACGATTAAGAGCCGCACACCTAAAATTATTTATTTATTTGGATTCTGGCTGATTTCGCCGGACAAACGAGAGAGAAATTTAAACAATTTGATTAAAGCAAAACAAATTGAAGGTTCATTCTGCGGTAAATTGGCAACTCATGGTGAGGGAGGTACATATATATTATGTATATTCAGTGCTAGAGATGGCAAATTTTAGATATAATGTATCCGTTAAAATATATTATAATCAGTATCAGTTCTGTTATGAACCATAGTATCGGTTTTATTGCAAATAAATTACAATTTTCCATACAACAAAAGAATTATTAAGATCCAAATGTACTTAATTATTTACTCCTTACGTCCTAGCAGTACAAAATTAATGGGCCTTGTCCATGAGTCAGCTATAGAATGCATTCAACCGCCTGGTTGATTGCACCTGCCGATGCGATAGAAAAACTGGAAAATGCGACTCATTCCCACTTGGGACCAGTTCGATGGCGATACTTTATTTTTGATATAGGGGTTCGTATTCGGTGTTCGGTTTCAGGTACAGCTTCAGGTTCAGGTTCAGGTTCGGTTCTGGTGGAGTCACGATTTCAATGTCAATATTTACACGACTGTCGCACCGATAAACATAAAAAGTTAGCATCATCGTCGTCGTTCATTGCTGTTTTAATTGCTTGGCAGCTTCTTCCTAGTTTGGCCGGTGGAGAAAATATGCATAAAAGAAAGTTTATCTCTAAAGCAAAATCAAATTCAAATACTCATGACATATTTAAATTAATCACGTAGTCGGGCCGCAACAAGGAGCGCCATCAAAATTAACGAGAGAGTGAAAAGTCGAGCAGATGCGATGGGGAGGAGGGCGGAAAAGTCGGAGAAAAGAGTCAAGGTCAGATCGAGAAATCGATAAAAGTTTGTCGCCGCCAGGCTCGGAAAACGGAAAAACCAAGGAGGACACATTGAGGTCACTGATTATGGTTATTGTTGATGTCGGTGCAAAGTCACGCATATAAATGAACTGGCATTGCTCCAGATATTAGTAATTCTCGGGGAAATAAATAACATCTTAAACAATTTTAACACTAAGATAAATATGTATATTGTATTTTATATTATTAAGCTTAAGCTATTTAATTATCTATTCTAATTATTTCTTTAATTACTTCCAAAATATTAAATGTAATAGAATTTCAGATTTGTTTGCCTTTAAACAATCTTTAGAAGTTCCCTAAAATATTTTTCAATGGTATAAAAGGAAAATAGGTACTATTTTTACACTAAGGGCACTCATATTTTTTGTAACTTATAAGAAACACTTCATCGCAATAAATTATTATAAAATCTCTAGAGATCAGCGGCAGAATACTTTTAAAACGTTATAAATTTTCAGTGCATATATATTTTTATCGTAAAATATATGTTTACCGCAATGGAGAGGCTACGCTGATAGCGGCCAGTGCAGTTCATCTAAAATGATACAGAAAAAGAGGGGGAAATGTTTGGGTCAGTATAACAAGCTGTTATTAATAGCCAAAGGTTGATCGGATGAGGGATATGGTTAGATGACCATGATATGTTGAGCACGCCCGCCGAACAAACAAAATCGGAGCAAAGTAGTGCTCATTAAATCGCAGACAACTCACGTCAACTCGGGGAAAAGCTCAAACAAAAAATAAAAGTTGCGAAACGATATTTCCGGCGTGGAATGGTAAAAAAAAAACGGTGACCGACACACAGAATAGAATAATCACGAAATACAGAAAATAAACAATAAAGAGGAGATGCGCAAAAAGAGCAAGCTAGTAACAATAAAAGCACAAAATTAAATAGGGTAACAGTATATAGGGCTTACGAATAGGTAATGCCGTGGAATAACGGAATCATTCTAATATATTTTAACATTTACCAATTTATTACATTTAAAAATCATCAAGTTTTCTTAAATAAATTTTAAAATTTTAATTATGGCATACATAAGTTTAGCACATTACATTTAAATAAAATCTTAAAATAAATATCAGTCTTAAAAATAAAATAAATTGTTTTTAATGACTGTTATTGAATATCCCACGAAAAAGATTCCACTCTTCACATGAATATTTTTTTAAAAATCAGTTTAAATACTTTCTATATTTTATATACCCAACCCGTTAAAAATGAAAAGGGTAATGTCAGTAAAAAATCAAGAGCACTTGAGCCATGACTGTTTTACCTACTCCACTTCCTACTACATATTTTCCTCTTTGCCCCTTTTGGACACTTTGCACGTGAAGCTTTCAAAAGCAATAAAAATAACATTAAAAAGAGGAAATTCCCAGAAACTTTCAGAGCTCTAGCATAGTAAATACAATTTAGATTATAAGCACTTTAACAAATTTGCTGTATAATGCTAAATGGAAACTTTAATTACAGCCAAGCTGATCAGCTAACTGAAGCCTAAAAATCGATTTTGGCACATCTCACTACAGTTAATTTTATTGTGAGAGTTAAAAGAACCCGTCGACTTATAAGGAACCTCTTCAGTATAGAGTGTATCTTTTTATATAGAGGTGAGGTGCTCAGCATAATTGGGAGATGAGGTCATGACATAAAAGGTAGAAGCAGCCTTGAAATTCTTCCCGAATTGGAATACAAAAAGCTAATTCATTGTCATAAATCATCCGGGCTTGTTGTAGGGATCATATTGTGTGAAAATTATGCTGTAGAATTCAATTCAGCCTGTAGTTGCAATAAAAAACCGGATATAAAAATCATATATCAAGGCTGTTAGGTTTTTTAACACTTTCTAATGGTTTAAATTTTGTTACTAATTTTCAAAAGGGCCTTGGGTTTGAATTAGTTACCGGCTTGCAGTTAAACAACTACTTAAAGTTTCCTACAACTTATATTATGTAAACGAAACACAATTCAAAGTCGCAAATCGCTGATGCTAAGGAATTCCGATTATCCAGACCTTTTCCGCCGCTTCTAGATTCCCTCCCTGAGACCTCATTTTATTTTAACGCAAACCACACATATGATATTTACTCTGATATCGGATAACAAAATGCCGCACATGTGCGCTGCAATAAGTTAACAAGTATTTAAACAAACAAGGCGAAAACACATAATCAAAATTCCATATGTAAACCGAAAGCGAGCCATAAAAATTAAGGGTTAAGTAACATACTGATGTTTTTGGAAATGGAACTCCATTAGCTTGACCCGTTGAACTACATTAAACCGACGAAAACTTGACTTTGCAACGAAACATTTAATCAATCCGGTTGGAGGAGGGGAAATATTCCAAAAAAGACTGTCATTTTAAGTGTGCAAGACCCCATGACAGGTTGAAAGAGGAGTACCACTCGTTGCAACCCACTCAACCGCCGAACCACTCTTCTTTTTATTGGCGTTGAAGCTATCTATCTATCGAAAGTTGCTTATTATGGTTTGATTGCCTGTCGGCCTGTTGATTGCCGCTGTAAGTCAACAATTGCTTATCATTTCGGCTTCGACTCTCACTTTACGCACTAATTGAATTAGAGTCCGCGAAGGAACGAGAACCACACACACTTTAATTGACATTGGAAGCGTGGCTAATGACGCTCTAATATGATTTTCGGTTGGGACCGTAATAATGCAATTAGTGGGTACTATCAATGGGAGGGAGATGAATAGAAAAGTGTGTGTGCCTAGGCGGCAACACGTGGGCGAAGCCCCCAAAAAATGAAGTCACACCCTGGGCTTATAGTTGTTTTAATTGTTCATAGATATACAGGGGAAGGTCTTTAAAAAACTTAAACATGTTCAAATTAAATTTTGTACAGCAGATGGTGCTTTAAAGACAATTTTAAAAAGACATATTTAAAAAACAATATACAAGGAAAAGTAAAAATTATAATAATAAATATAAGACATACATTTTATCAACTTTAAACAAAATACATGAGTTTCAGTATAACATTTATTAAAAGACTTCGGAAGCTAGCACCAATTTTACGAACTTAAAGCAAATAAAACATTTATATGTGGTTAGGGACCCTATCAAAAATGATTTTGTTAGTCGAAAAGTGTTTCGCTCACTCTAAACAGCCCGATTAGGGAATTCTCACAGTGCTCGTTCTACAACGAAAATCATTATCATTCAACATAAATGTAAACAAAGTGGAAGCTGCGGCGGAATTTCAGATCTCACGGCCTTGACGCATTCTTCTCTCTTGGGGCCTCTCTTCTGAATTCTTCAGAAACCGAAATCTAGTCTCTTGAGTCCCTCTTTTACAACAACACCCAAGAGATGAGTTACGACCAGATAAAGAACAAGTTTTCCCTTTCCTTAGCACATTTTAAATGTTGACTTTTCTTATGCAACGACTGATGGATGGAAATACGCTGCCTTATAAAACATTATGATCTCTATGATGTGTGCTAAGTGAAAAGAAAATATTATTAAAATTCGAAGCATTTGGATGTGTGCCAACCGAATAAGAAAACATGACCATGTGTACAGCTGTGGTGGAAAAAATAATATACCCAAAAATAAGTTTACATATTTTAAGATTCATATCAATTTGTATTTTTTTTGTTTAAAAATTCTAGTGTTAATTTGAATTAAACGCTGAAATACATACGATAGAGAATTGTTGAAAAATATAAAATATTTCATTCCGCCAAAATAAATAAACATTACCATCTTGACCACAACTGTATGTTTGACTGTGTTGCAATAAAGGAAAATGTGCGTTTTAGAGTGGGAAATTCTGTCATATAACGGGCAACACACAAAGTCATTTGCATTTAGACAAATTCTACATCATTTTTCTTTTAATTTTAATGCCTGCATATAAATATCCCACGCTTTGCGAGAGAAAATACCAAAAAGGAAGGTAAACCAAACAAAAGGTGACATGCATTACTGGAGACACACCCACACAAAAATACACGTATGTATATAATTTACGAAATGCAACAACTGCAGTTCTGAAAACAAAAAAATAGAATTGTGAAAGCACAAGGGGAGGGAGCGAGATGGCGATAGTCAGGTGTAATAAGGGAATTCAAAAACTTACCAAAACCGCGCTCTCCCGCACCAGCTGAGAGACATTCTCTCTCATTTGCACCGCTGAGCCGAGCTTATTTAAGCCCCGCGTAAATTTTCTCTCCATCCTGCTCCTTCCTTCGCTCTCTTTCAGGGATCAAGCAAACAAGTTGTTGTTGTTATTGGTCCGCTCCCCTGTTCACCTACCGTTGTTTTTGTTTTTGTGCGAAAACCGGCGGAAATTTAAAAATAGAGAGAGATACACGCACACACACACGCACAGGCAGTCAGGATGCGCTGCCGACTGCGCAGTCGACGTCGCTGCCAGCGATGACTAATCCGTTATCCTTTTTCTTCAACTCTCTCAAAATATTTATGCGAATTCAATAAGTTTATTTCATCAGCACTAGAATTTGTTGTAAAAGGATTTATCTGCGAAATTCTTTTATATCCATGTTATACACAAAACACCAATACAGGCACGCTAATATTCCCACGCCCCTTCGGCGAAAATTAGGGGGGGCGCCTTTGCAAAAAAACACAAACACCCACGGTAAATATTTTTAGCAGGCTTCTAGCATCCCGTAAGATTATAAACAATATATTTTAATGAGCTAAACACAGCTGTTTACACATTTTTATTATCTGATTAATTATTCGTATTTTACGTGCGTTCGGCGTTTAAGGTGTTTTCTGAGTTTTGCAGCGGCGGTTTGAACGAACTTTATCTTGCCGTAAAGTGTATCTTTTCGATTTGCCGCTAACGGAGCAACGAGCTCCACACGCGAGCGAGATCCAACGATTTTTGGGGGACGCGAATTGGTAGGTGGAGAAACATAATTTTTTTCGACTGCGCTGCTCAGCCCAACGTAAGCAAACGTAAGGAAAAATATCGAAGTTTTCAAAGCATCGGTAACATCGATGGTTGGCAAGCCAAAGTCAATGGTTGCCATCTCTATTCCAGAAATCTTCTATCTTGCTTTTGTACTGTCACTTACGTTGTTGCTATCTCCCTTTTTTACAGACGGTTCAAGCAAAAATATCGTGGGAAGAGAAATCGAATAGCACTTGAATACACTAAAATATACTTTTTATACAAAAACGGTCACCCTAAGATACCGATGATCCTATCTGGACACAAACCATGGTTCAAAAATAATCTAATGTAATGTAAAATAATGTAAAAACATATTTTAAGACCTTTGACCTTTTTCAAACTAATGAATTTCAAATCCGGTGGTCATAACGAATCATTTCCCACATAGGCAAAGAAAAACTTTGTGTGGAACCTTTTTTTTTGTAGAGTTCTGTAAACATTTTTTAAAATGTAATGTATTAAGAGTTTAATCTGTATTTACTAAAAGTTATTAAGGCCGTTTCGGCGTTTCTTCCTCGCACCGCTTAAGATGCCTTTCAAAATATTTAAGGCACCTAAGGCAATATAAGCTTACCCTATAAAATAAATGTATAAAATAAATAAAAATAGTTTTAACAGCGATAACGATACATACTATTCCTCTTGGTTCAGGTCGATCAAATCGTTTTCCCGGCGTGGGGCAAAAATTGTTGGAATCAAAAGAGGGCTTTATGACAGAAAAATATAACAAAATGTTTCTTTTTACTATTATACAATACATAAAGCTCAAGACTTTATATATATAGTGTCCTATAAGATAAGCTGGAACAATTTTGCGAATCTCGATTATAGTTGAACGTAGCAATCATCCATTTTTTTATAGAAAGCACAACGTTGGGTCACTTTCTTATGTGTTCTTATCAGAAAAAACGCACTGTGCCACTGTGTAGAACTCAATTAGAATAAATAATCATTCCGAAATTTCAGTTCACATATAGAGCCACAGCAGTAAGATCTCATTGCCATTACAAAATATTTTATTTATTTTATACAAATTAAAACTATAATTTGCAGTGAAAGCCAAACGCGAACCTAATTAAATAACTAACCAAGCAGCATTTAAAATGGACGAGAATGGGAAGCTTGTGCTCAACAACTACTGTGTCTTTGAGATTATAGATTACATTATTGCCAATTGCAAGGCAAAACCCAAAAATGAGAACGACGGAAGTATTAATTATGATGACTTAGTTAACTTTGTCCTGGCCAATGAATTTTTTTTGGGCCTGCTAGAAGAACGTCACAAAAGTCTTTACGATGATCTTGAGATAGCAATTGTGTGCAGGACAAATAAGCTGCTAATAGATCTTCAGAAGCAGAAACTGAATTTTTCTGGAAATCATACATACAATCTGTCAGTGAAAGAAGTCCTTTCAATGTAGAACTGTCATTTGGCCACGCTTTTGTTAACATTGATATACAATGTAAGTGCACTGAAAAAAATGAAAATATATATCACCATATTCAATTCAAAGTTTCGTACAACAAATTTAGTTTGAATACAAAAAAGTATTATTCATTATTAAACATTTCAATAGACTTATATAATAAAAAAATATTAGATTTTATGCAAGTTTTTTTAAAAGTTGTATGTCGTTTTAGTTTTTTCAGTATGATTTTCTGATATGCCTTAATAGTAACACTTAAAAAAAAAAGATTTTTGTAAATTCCTAAATAACTTACTTTATTGACTTTTTAAATTGTTTTTGATAAATTTTTATTTTTAGGCCAGTCACCGGGCTTACAAAAAACCGAAAAGTTAAGGTTAGAAAAGCAACTTACTTCACAAACGTTAGTTGACATATTGCACACTATCCAAAAGTTGAGCCTCGAAAGCGCAGAAGTCCATGGAAGCATTTACGATATCATACCCCATTGCTCTAATCTCAATGTACTGAGCGTAAAACTAACCGTGGGAGACTTTCTTGGCCAATATGCACCACTCGCAAAGTTGCCCAATTTAACCAACGTTATTTTTACCGGCTTGTACGAAGGCGGCTTAGAATCGATTTTTTTTAACGATTTAACAAATTGGAACAGGCCCAAGAGTATGCAACCTATTATATTGACCATCAAAGATGAGCTAACTAAAATAAGTCGGCCGGTTTCGATTGCAGCTTTAGACTCATTGCGATATTTGTAAGCATATAATTATTATTGTGTAGGGTTTGTATTAATTGAAGCACAATATGACTTACCCGAAATACCGGAAGACAGCGATTCAATACAGGAATCACTCGCAACCATAACGTTAGGTAAAATGGTCAAAATTAAGTTTGACAGGAATAAGGGAGAACTTGATTTAAAGATACACCCACAGTCGGATATAAGTCAAGTGGAAGATTTATCAAAACTGCGCAATCTAAGTCGTTTGATCATACAAAATACGAGTCGCTCAACTGAGTATCCTGAATCTCTTGCAAAATTCCTAAGACTTATGGCCACAAAAAAAAATTTAAAATCTTGCCAATTAATTATGGAACAATAGATCAAATAGAGTGCACAGAACTTGCCAAAATGGAATCACTTCAATATCTGGAGTGCCACTTGTCAAAGTGGAGTTTAATCAAGACTTTAGGTCAACTACCTAACCTGCAACACGCAGTGATCAAAGTCCGGGAACCTGTCAATTACGATACTTCGATGATGGTCTTTAATTTTCTAGCAGTATGCCAGGTGCATTTGTATGTTGTTCCGATTTTGGTACTATCCTTAATAAAAATGAAAAGTTGTTGGAGATTTGTTTCAACGATACGCGGAGAATGGTCAATACTCCGATGTCTCTTGCACAACTTGATGGCGTTAAAACCCTCAAAATCGTGGGTCCCGGTAATATTGGATACATAAATTCATTATTAAAAACCTTCATGGGAAATTTTTGTAAGATTGAAGAATTTGATTTATCGGAATCGTCTATTTTTGAACCAATACGTTTTGAAGATATCTCCAATGTGGCAGAAATCCAATCCACTAGAAAACTAAAATTGTATATGTCAGATACCGCTGGCATTGAGAAATTGGCAGGCCTCAATAAACTTGAGGAGTTAGAAATATACGACAATACGAAAGGAAACCTTTCTGGCCTTTTCACGAAACTGGCTGAAAAGAATATAATTCGATTTATAAATTGTGGATATCTCGGCACCGAAGAGGTTTTTAGGGTTTGCCGAATAAGGTCATTGAAAAAACTGGTGTGCCATATTCCAGACCTGGAAGATCTAAAATCGTTGTCAGAGCTAGCCGACTCGAGTATTGAAGAATTAATTTTCACGGAGCCACAATCAAGCCATTCTCTTCAGAACGTTTTTGCCGCCTTTTCTTCAAATTGTAAAACTACCCTTCAGCACCTGAACGTGCACAATCTTGACATCACTGGAAATGACGAACTTATGAAAATTAAAGGTCTAAAAAGGTCTTTTGAACCTAGCTATTATGGGAACAAACATGATTTTTTCAAAAAATCCTGGAACGTTGTGGAACTTAATTCAGTGCTTACTCTTAAGAAATTGGAAATTTGTAACGAGATTGGCTTTAACGTGTGTAAATACTTGGTTGAACTTGAGAGATTGGAGTCCTTAAAGTGTTCCTTGCTCAATGAACAGGGCATAGAAGTTTTAGCACATATAAAGAATCTTAAAGAACTAATAATCTGTAAGTCGAAGGGTTCGCTAGCCGAAGTTTTTCGGGAATTTGTTCATAATAATGAGTCAAAGTTACGAGAGTTGCATACTCCAATTGGATGTGATGATGACATCAGAGAAATATCGAAAATGAAATCATTAATAACACTAAATATAGAATTCGAAAACCCATGTAATAATAATACCATTTCAAATCTAAAGCACTTAAATGAACTTGAATCTTTACGGATTTCCCAACAACATAATTATGAATTTGAACCAAATTGTGTTTTGCCGATTATTCAAGCTTGTCAACAGCTTGCTTGCGTCACATTGAAATTTAATCTCAATGGCAAAGTGGATACAAATTTTGTAAGCGAAATTAACACAATTCTTAAATCTGTAAGAGATCCGACAACTCAGAGGCCATTAAAACTTAGTCTAACTGAGACTTGCACTTTCCCGGATTTTTATGTAAGTAGCCATAATAATAGTCCAACATGATTTAAAAATTAATATTTTGGTTTTGCAGTTTGAATCTATTGATGAGGCTTACTTAAGCGTCTTCCATTCCTATGAAAGAAATTGGTCTTGTCATGAAGTAGATTTTTTTCCTTTTGAATATTGTTAACATAAAAATTAAAGCACCATTGAAAACACAATTGTTGATTGTTTGTATGTTCTATATATTTTGCATATATTTGTTGCTTTTTTAGACTTTACACAATAAAAATGATAATGCATCTCAACAAAAACAATTATTCGCGGTACTTCTCGGATAGATTTCAAAGACAAAATTCATGCTTTCGTGTAACTTTTGCTTTTGGAATTAGTCTTCCAAATACTACTTGGCTTCATTTCGCGTCCCTCTCATTTGTCGATTATTTGTATTTCAGTAATCGATTAGAAAATAAAATAGTCATAATTAATTTCGACAGATCCGACTGCGGATCGAGAATTATACGTCGCTTCTAAACATATGTACATTGAATGCGGTATGCAAGTTATTTTCGTGAGTCATCAATACATTGATGTTGTGGTTTCGGCGTTTGATTAAACTTATAAAATAATTCATTAACATACAGTTTAGGTAAAATTATTTAAAGCAACTTAAACATAAGGTTAAGAGTTCCCTCTTTCTTGTTTGTTTTGCGGTGTGCTTTTTGTAGAGTGTTTAAATTTAAAATCATATGTCGATCATAATTTAGTTATATTCCATTATGGGGATGAAATGTGAAGCGAGAGTCACAGTAGCGGTCACGGTAACAGTAACAGTTTACGAGTGCGACTAACGAACGAGTAACGGTTTTGTAAACCT